AACATTGCAAGAAGTATCTATGACATGAGAGACTAGGGAATAGGTCTCTCAATACAAGTCTAAGGAAGGAGGGAAGAGCTGGGGTTCAAGGAATCATCTTTGGATCTGAAGCCCGCTGGCAGCTGTCAAAACTGTCTGCTTGCCAGATTATATTTCTCTTATTTGGCGCTAAAGAACAACTTACACACTTGAGAGATGCTTTGCTGGTGTAAACAGACAGAATTTGAAATTGAAGGAGCAGGTTGATATCAGCAAACGCCTCCAGTTTTACACACATTGGTTTCTTTCAATGCTGTGAAAAATCTTTTTAAAGGTTTGTAAGCAGGAGGCAACATTTGAGTTCTCCCACCTAGAGACAGAAGCTGCATACTTGCATGGCAGTGACCCTGATCTCAAGTCTCCTTCCATGTGACTGTTACCTTCACTGATTGTGTCAAAATAGACTTATATCATTGTATTTCTACACTGGCACCACCAGCACATATAAGCCCTGAGAATTGTCAGTTCATTCACATTCAAGTACTTGATTTTTGTAGAACTGCTCCCCAGCGTGAGCAACGCTGTCTACAGAAAATGTTCATATGGATTGATCTTGACCCATTGCAGGTGCTCAGTCAGGAACAGAATTTCTCTAGGACCTCCCCATTCAGGAGACAAGCAAGGTGTGCCGAGTCTGGGGCTGCCCATCTCCAGAGACCATACAGGAATACAGACCCATGGCTCCCTAACTGCCTGAACTAAGCAGAGAAAATCCAGACCTGTGAGATTTTGAAAGACAGTACAATTGAGTCATATCTTCCAGATGTAAATTGCTTGCTCACAGGAGCACTGGCTTGCATGTTCTATATGCTTTCTGCACTATTCATGTCCATCTTGCAAGTTTTTATTTAAGCTTTTAATTTTTTACCTTTGAATTAAAGAGCAATATCATAAATGAAAATTTACAAAAACAAGCAATGGAGAAATCATCTAGAATCAGCTTGGCATAAGCCTACTCCCATCATTAAACCAGAAGACAAAATTAACCGTACTCAACACCTTGCCAGAGCTAGATTTCTGAAGTTCTCAGTGTAACTGTGGCCTCCTGGGTAGGTGATCCCATGATGCAGGTGATGGGCACAACCCAAGTGGGAGAAATTACTCTGTCCACAGAGCAGATTGTCCTGTTCTTTCCATGGCCCACTGGGACAGCAGCCGGCTCAGGCAAGACCTCTTGGTTTATGACAGACCCTTGTTGTCTAGCATGTACTAAAATATGAGTCAGTTCAGGGACAAACATTTGAGGGAAGTCACAGAAAAATTAACTAAGCAATGCCAGTAAAAACATGGGTGTACTTACCCCGGCTTTGTAATGGTATAAAGCGTGTCAGCTGGACACATGCTTTCCAGCGTAATCATCCCTCAACTCTCCCCGGACAAAGCCAGCACACTCATGCTACAACACTCATAATCACAGCATTGATCCAACTTTCTCTGTCAACCGATCTGACAATAACCTCATCATGGATTTCTTCCTTTTTCCATCTTTAATTATCAACACTGTCTCCCCACATCATCAGACTCAGGGCACCGCCAGCTTAGTCCATGTAAATTAAAGTGACAGCCTCACCTTCCTTGTGTAGGTGTTTGCCATCCTGTACCTGCTCCTGCCTCTCTATCTTGACCATCTTCCACACCACCAACACCCTTGGTCAGCTTGCATATGATTCTTCTGTCCTGGGTATTGGAGCTGCCTGATGAGCTCCTTCTGGGGCTCTAAGAGAGGGTTTGAAACATTCTGTCAGATGACTGAGATCCAAACCCCACCGTGGGGTCTCTTTCCACTTAAAGTGAGGGTAGCTCTGCTTGTGACCAGGGCACCAGATGGTGCAGGTGCCTCCTGCAGCAGAGATCCTGTACAGAGCTATCCAGAGACCCGGAGGGTGCAGGGCCCCTCATCGCTCCCCACATGGCAGGTCAGTGAGATGGCAATTTAACTATTAAGCTAAAACCGTGAGCCACCTCCCTCCCCTCCAAAACCCACATGCATCTTTCAGCAGCAGTGATATTTAACTTTGTCCAAAAAGAGTCACAACAGCTCTGCCTTTCCTGTCACACGCTCCCACTGGGCATACATGGTCTGTCATGTCTGCCCTCCTTCAAATCTACACCTGAACACCCACTTTCCCCCAAGGAGCCCTCACCAAATATTGCCATGCACCCCTCAGCTGTCCCCCAGAGCTGACAGCTGCCTCCCCTCTCACTTTGAGCTCCACTGCAAAACCCTTTTGGGACAGTTAAATTGCCATTTTGAGCCTGCCCGAGGCCACAGATCTCCCAGCAGTGGGGCAACTGCTCTGCCTCGCTGCTCCTGTGTGGGCTGGACAGGGAAGGACAGGAGTTTGTTCTTTTTCATGATGGGGCTTTTTATTTTGAACTCCTGAGCCTGGTTTTTAGCAGTGGAGGGACTCCCCAGAGGCAGGACTGGCACTGTACCTGTTCTGCTTGCAAGGCAATCATGCTCTGTCTGACCATCCCAAGCATCAGCACTGCAGTTTGTGACTCAGCTGGAGCCTTTCACGTTTCATGGCCCTTCTTCCCATCGCAGAAGCCAAAGAGAGCTGCTTAGCTTACACACACACACCTGATTTGTCTGAAACAGTCTGTTAATAAAGGGCATATCACAGGGTCATATGTACAAGTCAGCAGCACAAGTCCTGTCTCTAATAATCCTGCCCAGCTGGCTGATGCCCAGCACTATATCCTGAGTTTCCAGTGACGGGCACTATCCCAGCCTGATGCCCTTGGCATGCTGGGGACAGGCTGTGGCCACAGCCAGTGCGTGGCAGCCCTGGAAGCCTGCCAGCTCTAGCTCCTTTCAGGCTCAAGTGTGGCATGAGTCTTCAGCCTCCCATTTCCACACACTTCTTAACTGCTTCCTTCATGTTATTTTATTGGCGTGATTTAAATTTTCTGTGACATGTTTTGGCACTCAAAAATATTCCTGCTGCAAATGCCCTGTGTGTATGTTCCTCTGAAATCTTCCTGTTTATTTTATTTTTCATTCTTAACAGCCAATGTCACTAATCACTTTTAGACTCACGGACTAATAAAAATATTCATAAAGCAAAGAATTTCCCTACATCCCAAGCTCTTACGACCCCATGGGATATGCCTCCTTGTACGAAGGACAGACTAAGAATTTTTTAATCCTTTCACCCTGTTTACAAAGCAAATCTGGAAGTTAAATGCTTAGAGCACTGGGAAAACCATAGCCACTTGCATAGACTGCACTGTGATTTTGCAGGCACACTGTAAAAAATCTACTGACAAAACAGAGTGTTTGGTGAGCCACTTAATGCATTGTTAAAAACCATCAGCTTTCTCTGCCTAACACTCAGTATTTTGGTTTTTAAAATACTGATTTATTTTTTTGTCAGCACAGTATGTTTTTTACTAGAGCCAGCAGTTTACAAGCAGCAGGAACAGGCAAAAAAGAGCCTCCACCCAAATATTTTTTTAACCAATTCTTCAGACGTACATGTCAAAATAATTGGATGGAAAAAAATCTGTCATTTAAACAAGAGTGCAGGAGTAACACTTTTGTGCTGCTTTTCCTCCTCAGCTATCCATAAACCAACTCCTTTTCAGATTTTTCCTAAACACAGTAAACCTGCAGCTCAGCAGCACAGGCCAGACAGGCCAGACTGGCTGCACAGCCAGGAGACCTCGGTGTGCATCACCTTCTGGACAGGCTGCAGTGAGACCCTGAAGGCTTCCAGCAAATGAGGAACTCTAAATGTGTAATTTGAGCCATAACCTTCTTCAGGTAGGTGAAGAGATGTAATTTGATCTTTCTTATGAAAAGTGCAAATGCACAGGGATTGGCAAAGCCACATCTAGAGCCTGAGATTTGGGAACACTGTACAAAAACACATGCTGCAAACAGACGTCCAGCCTCATAAATATCTGCTTTACAATTACAAAGTGACAGCTGTGAAAATTTATCAAAATATTGTCTCCTTTTCTTTTTATAAGTCTTGGAAGGAACACTGTGATAAATTTAATTCTGTTTAAATTAGAAGAGCTCTGGACTGTGTTTTTCCTGAAACTGGCACTTGGTATTTTTTGACTTTCCAAAACGTTTGCTTCACTCACAGCGCTTGAAAGAACAAACATACACAACATTGATACTTATTCTGCAATATGGCAATAGTCTTATTTCTTAATGTCTAAAAATACTCATGCAAATGTATCACAATTTGTTGGCTAATAATTACATTTTAAATTAATTCCTCATATGAGACACTGATCATGCTTTCCCACTATCCTTCTGTCAAAATACAAATCTTACATGCAGAGGTGAACAGCAGCTCCAGCATCTTTGGGCTGTGAGTCAGCTCCATGGAGCTCATTTCCACAGGAAAACAAAACTGTCTTAAAGCAGAAACTGAAATATAGTTCTTATGAAGCAATAAATCCACTGCACCTCTGTGAATTGTAAATCACAGGCAACATGTAGTTTAGAACTGCTTCTAATTAATAGCTTTTTCTGTACTGAAGGAATCTTGGTTTTTAAGAGTGATCATTAAACATTTTAGATTCCCTTCTTAAGGAACTCTCCTTTGTGAGTCAATAACCACAACCTTTGAATAACCCAGGGCAATACCGCCGAGGCTGGTTCCCCTCGAGTGCCCATGAAGAACAGTTTGCACATGAAATACAGAAAGCAAAGCAATAACAGGATAATAAACACCCAAATCCTTGTCCTGCTGATATGCAGCCAACTATCTGCTCTAGCACAGGAAGACCCTTCAGTAATGAAAACGTGTCAACCAAAACCAATGGATAAAAGAACACAGAAAGGTGAAAACAGAGGTGGACACACAAAATCAAATCCTGCCTTTAATGCACATAATTCCCACTGAAGTTTATGGGACATGAGGACAGGGCAGTGAGATGAAACTTGATCTACTGATGTTGGCTCTGTACAACTTCAAATAAATGAACCACGGCATCAATTATTAATAAATTGATATATACTTTATTATGCACAAGAGACTAAGATGACATGACACTGTGGTTATCAAAACTGTACAACTGTGCATTTCCACAAGTCTCTGAAATACTGAATGTAATATGAAATACAAATGGGGCGTTCAGACTGGCCACAGGTATTAGCAAGTAAATTTCTCCCATTCTTTGATTTTAAAAAAGCATCTGGCATTTGCATCTTAAAGAAATACATTTATTTTTTCAAAGGTGAGAATATTGTGTTTGGAACTGGTAGGAACGTGGTAGCAAAGATCTGATAACACTATGAACATCCCTACGAATGACAAACAACAACAGGGCAAACAGTCACCTCACACGAAGGGCTGTCAGCACAACCAACAGTACAGTCTTCTTGTGAAGCATGAGGTAGATATACATAACAGAAAGAACAAACAGGAGAGGAAGGGTTAGAAAAGGGCAGGGGGAAGGTTACAATCATCAGCATTTACAGAATTTTGCAAAATCCATTTCCACGTGGAATACGCTACAAACACAGCCTAACACAGAAAGATCTGACCTCTTGAGACATAAATATAATAATGTCCAAAACCAAATGCTGTAAAAGGTTAGAGTTAGTGATTAGACAACACATGATAGAAGAAACAGTCTACTTTGGAGTTTAAGTACGTTATTAATAGCTTTTACAGGCAGAAGGTGTCCCTTTTTAAGCCCAATCCTCCCATTCTTACATAAAAAGTTCCTTTGCACTTGATTCCACCATGCTGAAATTAACCCCTGACTCCATCCCTCCAAAACCCTGCTGTACCACCCTCCGTTGGGCCAGCAGCGTCTCACTGGCCTTCCACACCCCACAGGGATCTGCCACGTGAGTCCAGCATGGCAAGACTACGTTGGACACAGGAGGGAATCAGTGGCTGAGCAGTTACACATTCGGGACCTTGCCACACCGCACACAGAAACTTGCAGCAGAGACAAATGGCTGCTACAAAAATAGAGCTATAAGTGTATCAGGACTCTGAACTGAGGGCAGCTTAACAGCTGCTGAGAAGTACTATACACTTCTGTAATAAAGCTATTAACTGGGAATGCCCAGGTTTGGTTGTCTCTCTCTTTATCGAAGCAGAAATGGCTGTTCCATCTGCTAAGTAATAATTTTGGTAACCTCCAATAGACAATTAATTCGAGCGGATTAAAATTTCTGAATTAAATAGCTGAGTACACCAAGTTCAGTTAATTTAAACTGTATTTCATATACAAGTCAACAAATCAAATCTTTGACCTTTATATATTTTTGGTTTGTCCAATGGTAAATATAAACCAGTAAATTATTTTAACATTATGGTTTTAAAGAGATTGATAATGCAGCATGTTTCTCTCAAAAATATATAATTATCTATTTTACAGAGGAGTTTTCAACCTGTCTGTCCCAACAACCAAATCTAATACTTCCTATCAGAAACTGCTTAATAAAATATCTGAGGAAGGAAAGGGTTAAAACAGGGGAAAAGAATTTACAAAATATGTAAATTTCACAGTAATTGAAATTAAAAATTTCATATAGAGTAACTTACATTTATCTAAAACATTTAAATATATCTTTATACAGAAATTTAATGTAGTAAAATATAGCTATGATTGAACTTAAAGACTCTAGTCTTCTTTGAAGACATCTTTAAAGACTTTACACATAGAATATGCTTAAACAATACATTCTGCTGAAGGTTAGGCAAAGCGCTTTCTTTCCAACCACACAGGTAGCACATTCATCCTCCCGACACCTCGTAACAGAGCCAATCCTGCAAACCCCTACGCACGCAGAGCTACGTCCACGTGGCAATCTGTCCATGTGACCAGGACTTCTCCCTGGCCTGCTAACATAAAACATTTCTGCATGTGTAACTCTGTGCACCAACTCCATGCTGAGTCCAGCATGTGCTTCTAAATAGCAAGGACGAGGCGTGCAGTTACTCGCGTGTGTAAGTGTTTGCAGGATTAGTAACAGATTTGATTTAAAGTGAGCAATATTCTGCCTTATCCTGGGCACTTGCGTCTATCGCATATCTTGCACTTCAACCATCCTGGCATCAGCAAGGCACAAGTGTAGAATCAGCAAGAGACCTGCAGCTCAGACTTCAGAGCAGACTATCACTTGAGTGTAATGAACTCCCTTCCTCTCTTGCAGAACACAGGTAACTTTCACTAAAATTAATGAAAGTTGTTAATCTCATTTTTAGAGGAAAACAATGCTCTTTTTTCCTCAAAGGAGAAGAATCAGTAGAACACATTACAATTACAAAGTGGCAACCAACAGTCAAACAATTACACATTGAAAGTGTCTTTTTTTTTTTTCATTTGGCATCAATTTGAAGCTCAAGATAAGGCAAGGATACTAAAAAATACTGTGAAAATTAGTACCTTTCTGCCATTTCCATATTCCGAAACTACTTTGGGACTATCCAACTGCAATGTTCATACAACAGTTTGATACAAACAACTGCACAACTATCTTCAGAGAACAGGCAGTATTCTGCACAAACGACATGTTCTACTGTATATATTCTTTGTGCTCTCAAAACCCATCTCTTATTTCAAAGGGCTAGCTAAAGGATTAGAACCAAATCAACTTCTTTATCTCCTCTATCATCTATAAACTGAAGAGACAGTTTTTTATTCATATATATATATATATACATAAACATTTTATATTTTATGTGTGAAAGGGACACTGAGCTAATTGCTAATTGTTTAAGTGGTAAGTTAGGCTCTGTATACCTAGGTATACATCTACTTGCATAAAGACATTGTCATTAAAGATACACACACATCTATGTTAGTGCACAAGACAATTCTTTGTCTTAATGTTTGTGTGTGCCTGTATTTGGTATAGTAGATTAAAAAAAATCTCTTACTAAAGAGCTTTGGCCCAAAAAACAAGAGAGGGAATGTTAGAGTGTGCTCTTTTCCGATTAGCAAATCAATGCATATTACAACAAAAATACCTGGAACAAACTTGAAGCTACAAACACAACAGGAAAGCAAATGAGATGCTGTAGCTGTAAGCTGAACAAAACAAAGATTACTCAAAAGTGGCTAAACGTAGCTGAAATAATAAAATGTTATTAACCAAACAGATCTGACCTTGAGGCTTTCTTGCTTAGACAAACAGAAATCCTTTGACCCAAGATCATCTCTGTTCTCCCTATCTTATGTAGTGACAGAACAAGGGGTAATGGCTTTAAACTGAAAGAGGGCAGGTTTAGATTGGATATTAGAAAAGATCCTCTTTTCTGTGAGGGTGGTAAGGCACTGAACAAGCTGCCCAGAGAAGTTGTGGCTGCCCCATCCCTGGAAGTGTTTAAAGCCACACTGGACACTGCCTGAGCAACCTGGTCTAGTGGAAGGTGTCCCTGCCCACAGCAGGGGGTTTGTAGCTAGATGATCTTTAAGGTCCCTTCCAACCCAAACCATTCTATGATTCTATGATTAAATTCCCTTAATGAATACTTTGTGTCAACGAGAAGGTTCAGGGAAAGAAAAAAAAATTGTACAGACAAAGCAGCATTTTTCCAAACTGGCACAGATTTCACATTGAGGGGCCCGCAGACCCCTAGAACAGGTTGCAGTACTGTAAAATTAGTAGCTTTGTCACATGTAGCATAACATGCTAAACAAGATCCATCAGGCTGCGTTCACTCATGCATTGTGTGCTCATATACACACTCAGACACACAGTGGCTTCCCCAAAAGAAAATCCGTCCTTTTTTTTTTTTTCTCCTGTAGAAAAATCCCTCCTCATTTTTTTCAGAAGCAACCACAACAACCCTTTTAACTATAAAAAGCTGATGTCCACACACAGTCCTTGGAACCTGTGTGCTCCTATGCTGCTCCTCAGCTGTGTCCCCCCGGGTTAGGTGGCACTGCTGCTGGAGCAGGGGGTGCTCTGTGTGCTGCCAATGCTGTGAGCTGCACTGCTGTTCTCGGATGCTGGCGGGGATGTCGGGACCTGCTGTCTTCCTGCTGTTTCCCCTGAAGGAAAGGGAAGAGAAAAAGTGGGGTCAGGAGAAGGGAAATTGAAAATGTTAATTGTTATAGAAAACAGCTATCAAGTCCTTCCCAGTCTTCTTCTTTTGGTGGTCCATATTCTCATGCAATTAATACACTGAGGGACAGACCTTAAACAGAGTATTGTTGAAAATGCTACTCGACTTTGGCATCTTAACATTGCTATGCACATGGGGAAAACAACAGTGCTGTTCAGCACTTTAAAAGCAGCTGATGGAAACTGATAGATGCTGTCTACCTTCTGCTGTCAGCTGTCACTCAATGGGTCCTGTCACAGACCACTCTATAGCTTTGCTGTCTCCAGGAAAAAGGCCTATGAAATGCAGGCTTTAATTTTAATGGCAGTTTATAGAGTAGCATATTTACTAAAAGTGGAGCTGAAGACAATGTTCTTCAATCAGTTGGACACCACATATCCTGAGACATGACCAGTCTTCTTCATGTAGAAAAACACCAGGCTATCCTTAAAGCTTGACTTGATTTACTCCTAACATAATATGCAGGAAGTTTCCCTATAGCTACCACAGTATGTGCAGCACTTACAGTGTGCAGCGAGAACATGTCTCACCATTTCTTGTTAATTGTTTACTGACAATAAATTAAAAGCCCTTCATTATTTAGATTGCCAAAACAAGCACTAGGATATAAAGCCATATTTATAGCTCCTGATAAAACCTAGATTTCAGTCTGCTTTCCTCATACCCCTTCTGCACCTGTGACTGGGATTCCATGGGAAAAATTCAGCTCTTAGCTAAGCATGAAAGTAAAAATTGTGCCATTATGTCAATGCCCAAAAGATCATAATGAGACCACATAGGAAATCATAACTGTGGCATTTTTTAAGTTACAGTGCTCAAATCTGTAACCTTAGCAATATTACAAAATAGTCTCTTCAAAACAGATGGCAAGACTTAAGTTTATATAATGTGCACTGTAGCTGCCCCCTCCCTTGAGCTCATCTCTCAGGATGTGAACCTGTGATCTCAGCACAGTAACACAGTCAGACTGCTGCTGCTTGAGCTGCAGACCTGCCGTGGCAGCCAGAAACAGCACGGCTGCTTTCCCAGCAAAGAAGCAAGACATAAATGTTTTCCTGGATCATGGATAGGTGCAACTAGAAAAAAATCAGTAGCCTCATCTCCTGCTTCATAAGTTTATAGTTACGCAGCTCTCCTGTTTCACATTATCCTGTGTTTTTCAAAACCTGAAGCCATGGGTCAGGTCTGCAGAGCCCAGTTTTTCTTCCATGTTCAGTATTTGTCAGAGATCCTGTTCCCCAGTGATTGCTTCAGTGACAGGTTGGAGGCACAGCCTGCATCCAGAGGGTTACAGTGCAGGGACGACACAGCTTCCTCCCGCAGGAGCTGCTCTGGCACATCCCCATGCCCTGCGTGCTGCTGCCCAGCTGCCAGAGCCCAAGCTCCTCGGAATGCGGCTGAGGAGGAAGTGTGCCTTTAACGCTTTGTGGCTCAGGCCACAAAATATCCTTCTGCAGGCTGCTCAGTACTCTGAGGTCTGCTACAAACAAGGGAGGTCTGAGGATTTCTCACAGCAGAGGTTGCAAGTGCTCTGTGTAATAGAAACCAGCAGGTTTGCTGCTAGCTGAAGCCACAGCTGAAGTGCACATAAGGCCCCAGAATGCACAGCTCTTGCCTTACACCCCACTGGTTTAGGAATGGGGAGGAAAGAAGGGATGGGATGGGATGGGACAGGACAGAAAAAACAACAAACTAAACTACTAAACCACATCACCCAGGAGCACAATGAAACTTTTTTAAAAGAGGGTGAGGATCTTGCTTTTAAATTCAGCATTCAGTCCAGTATTTACTCTTGTGAGCAGAGTTTGATTCTCTTTTTCCCAGTATAACAAAAAACTATGTAGCTCATCCATGAGCAGTGAATTTCTGCTCATAGGCAGCAGGTCAGAATCTACCATCAGTCATCTGCAAATAAATCAAGTTTCAGCTCTAACTTGCTTTGGAAATGGCTTTGCAACCCATCAGAATAAACTGTATCAAATCAAAGTCTGTGCCATCGTGCTGTAAAAGCTTTCATAAGCCTTGTTTGGATGTTTCTTCCCCTCCTGACTTGCTCCCTTCTTCAGTTGTTTGTGTACAAGTCTTCCTTCCTTTTGTACTACAGGATATATTTATAAAGGCAGTGACAAGCAAACTCCCTTTCATTAAAACAAAACAAGGGAACACAAACATCAGAAAGCAGCGAGGGGAGGCGGCAAACCCCCATCCCCAGCCGCAGGAGAAGCCGCTCGGGCAGTGCAGAGGAAGGGCGGCCGCTGCGCTCCCCCGGCAGGGCCCCTGGCCCTCGCCTCTCTCCCCACAGCTCTGCTGTCACCCATTTTACAAACCACATGGTTACACACAGCGTTGGTCAGCCTCAGCACGTCAGCACAATCTGTATGCATTTAACCATAAATTCATTTATAAGCTAAACACACGTTGTTTTCATTTTACGGCAAAGCGAAAGCACAGCGCCAGAGTCCCTGCACAAGCCCAATGGCTCTCACTCTCCCCTCCCGCCTCCTCTGGAAAGTGTCCTAGGAGGCACCTTCCCTTCTGTTTGGCTTGGAAGACTCCTTCCTTCCACTGTAATTCAATGGCCTGCACAGTACCTCGTTTCCAGAGTATGGTCAGCAGCTCTGATTTACCACAATATATCACAATCACTTGTTGAACAATAACAATTCTCAATGTCCTCAAGGAAAAAAAAAAAACAACCAAATCACAGTGATGTTATGAACACAGCCTAGCAACTACATCTGGACTGGCTGATTTTTCCTGTATTTTATTTCCTCAACACCTAGCTAACTACAGAAAAGCTTTTTTAAAAAGAATATTCAAGAAAAGGATGTAAAGAAATGTAAACTATCACCAAAGAGGCATTCTCCATCTGTCTTTTTCATGTAAACAGCTTCATGTATCTCATGTTACCGAACCAGAACTGCTCAGAATGGACATGTTTCATCTATTGACAGTAAACAAGCTTTTACCCATCTGAATGCAACAACACGCACTTTATTATTCACACTTAGGAAAGCTGCCAGTTGTACTCCCTGTCCAGGAAGTCTGAATGTTTGCTTTTCTATCTCCATTTGCCAAATATAATTGGTTGCTATGTCAGTTTACTTTAAATCAGATCCCATAAAAAAAGGGAGAAGTGGGGGAGGAGGGACACTTTTAACTTCTTGGATTTTAGAAAAGTTTATCCTCTTAACTTGCAACACTGCCTGAAGGAGGAAAGCACGTTTCCTAAGAAAACACAGGGACAGATGTTCTCTAGCACAGTTTAAAGGGTTTAACGCTCTCATTAACTAATCAGACTTGTGCATGTCCCTTCCTAAAAATGCTCAATTATCCCTATTAAGACAGATATTACATTGATACATACTTATATGGTTAAATTTTGAAGGGTTTCTGCATCCATGCACACTGCAAAAGTTTTGATCCTCTGTAAGACCTTCAGATAAATGGGGTTAATTGTGGCAAATCCCTGCTGTTTCCCTTTGTCCTTGGGTCTTCTCCAGGCAGGACCAATACCTTTCTCGTCCTTTAATTGACTAGATGAAGGATCAAAAGTACAGAGTCCTTTTGCAGAAAAGTCAGCTAAAATTTCTCCTCTGCTGTTCTGATATTACCTATCTCTCTTCTCTTACTACCTGTGTATCTTAGAACATTTGTACTCCACGTTGAATTGTTTCAGAAAATCTAGAGTATTCTGAAGCATAGTTTTGATGCTTTAGCAGAAATTTTTCACGACTGAACCCAGCAAAAGACCTACATGAAAAAAACTCCACACAACAATCCTTGTTCAATATCTGGAGATTACCTTCTACCTATTGCGGAGTTCCCTTCTGCCCTCAGTTGTTTGAGGGTTTAATGTTAATGGTCCATCAAGAAAACAAAAGAGCTTGTTCATGTAACACTGTTACCAGCAGGCATACTGATAAAAGTGTATAGGTAAATCTCCTTACTGGCAAAAAGGTGGCCTTTTGCTGCATTGCATACAGCACTACAGCAACAAAAATGCCTTACTTCACACATCCCAAGTTGCCATTCTCTACCAGCTGTAGCTTTTATCTGTGCTCTGAGTATCAGCAACATACAGTTTTAGAATGAACTCATATTTTCCAACCTTTGGTCTAAATCGTGTTAGAAACCCAGTACTACTTGCAACAAAAGATGAGATTTCGGAAAAAGATTCAGCAATACCTAAATTCTCTAATGGCAAAAGACTGCTACTCTGTAGATGAAGTTTAGATTATCTTCCCCCCACTCCTTGTGTTAATAGAAGTCTGCAGCCAGCTCTAAAATGTTTCCACTGCAGCTGGATTATCTTGTCTGCCACAGCAGTTGCCCTCTTAAGAGACTGTCCCTGCCAGAGCCTTGGCTGCACTGTGTTCCAAGTTGTGCTTTGTAGATACAAGATAATATGCACACAAAAATTATGTGCACAGGAACATAGGTTCACTCTCACAATTCTTTGAAAATCTGAACCAGACAACTTGCTGGATAATTTTTATAATTTCTGTGATTCTCTAAATCTGATGAGTTACAGTGTCCCTGTCCTTTCTTTTTCTCCACTTATTTTCATCTCTCAAACACAAACCCAGAGTAGCTGCCCTCTCCACTGCTTGTATGTGGTCACTATGACTGATGTACTTTGCTAATATAATTCTTTTAATGGGATTGGTCCAAGTTCTATTGTTGCCATAAGATTTATCACGTTGGATTCCCAGTGTTCCTTGACTACAGATACACAATTTGTGTCTACAGATGGTTCTGTATATGAACAGAGATTGAACAAATGCAAGAACAGATATATTAGAGGTGTTTTAACTTTTTTTGTTGTTAATAAGGGTTACCTATGGAAATTACCTTCTTAACTTACATATTTACTCACTGAAATTGTGCTTTCTTCCACAATGTTTCAGTAGTATATGAGACAGAATTATACAATTTATACATAGTATCACAAACTTAAAATTTTCCACATTTGCCTCAATTCCAAACAAGTTTCATACACAGCTGATGCATTGAGAAGTATTAAACTGCTTATACAAAACTGTTGTACTGCCAACTGGGAAAAAACCCACAGTTTTTTTTTCCAAATTAACATAAGCTCCTGGGTCATAATATTTACAGGAGCTCTGACCCAACAGGGCCAGACTCTCACTCCTAAATAGCTTCCATGAGGTTTTGGATTCCAAAAAAACCAACACCCTGTAGTGGGCTACAGGCACAAATTCCACTGCTCTAGAGCTGCACAGGTTTGGAGTAACTGACCTCTCATTTTCCCAACCTCCCAGAGATCTTGGTAGGGTCTTGTGAGGTCACAAGTGGAAGTAGTTGCGAGCACGCTCTAGGAATCCTGAGATACCCCGTGATTCACAAGCAGACAAGGCCTCATGCTGGAAATCATGCTGGCTCCCCCAGTGTCCAGTCTGTGTCTGCACCACCTTGCAGATGACATGCAACAGAAAACTCCCAAAGCTCCCTCTTCTTCCAATACAGTATTCTATTTCTGCTAACTTAGTTTAGTACAAGAAAAAATTCTAAGGAGATACTGGGAAATTATCTATGCATAAAGGCTGCACCAAATTCAGGCACATTCCTGGTTATTTGGCTGTACACAATTAAGTAAGATTACACATGACTTCTATGAATTGAATGCAATAGTTGAAGACTGGAGGAATAAATAATTGGGGCAAAAATTTCAGGTAATCAAGGCCCAAGAAAAATTTTCAAGTGGAGTTATATTCACAGTATGTATATGTAAATAAAGCGTTCTCTTAACCATTTGGCCCACTCCTTATACACATCAGCCTAATGAAGTAATTGCAAAGAAATTTTTAAAAAGCAGTATGGGAACCAAAAAGGATCCATTAACTAAAATGTTAACTAAATTTCAAATACAGAGATGCTACTAATGATAATGCACAAGCCAGGAACACTCAGAGTTTTACTTGTGTCCCAGGTGAGTTTTCAAGATTCGCATTTAAAATTACTTTAGCAAATTTTAAATCGTAATGTCTAACACGTCCCTGTAGGGAAGGGCGGGTATCAATTGGCCGATACACAATACAGGCTCATGGGAGGAGCTGGTGGAAAACTCCCTAGGTAGAGGAGAGGGCACAAAATAAAAAAGGCCAGGACAGCCACTGCTGGCTCCCCTCCCCTTCAGACCACACCACGTTTCCTGCTGCGTGACCCGCTCTGAGAGCGCCCCCACTCACCTGTGCGGGAGTAGATGAACCAGAGCGCTCCGGTCAGCAGGGCCCCGATCACAAAGGCTGCAAAGGCAATGCCCACCACAGTCAGCGTGTCCAGCCCGTAGAACACAGCTAAAGGTAAGCACACAGAACACAGGCACTTTTCATTATCAGTGGCAGACACCACTTTACAAAAATACCCCCTTACACTTTCATGGGAGAGCTTTTTCAAAATTCATACTTAATTAAGCACCATTTTAAGCAACAGACAAGCAAATTTGCGCCAAGGAAATAAAAGGGAAGCTTTCAGAGAGTGGCTTCAGATCAACCAACTGTTCCACATCACAAGGCAAAACTCCAGCTCAGCACACCCAAATCTGGAAAGCGTTGCAAAAATTAAGCATTTTCAGTTGGCTGTTAATAACTTGCTTTCAATTAAATACTCATTTATCTTAAAAGTGTGTTTTAAAAAGGCTGATATTTCTGGCAGAAGATGCTTTTCACTTAAATGGCCTAACATTCAAGCAAACTTTCCCCTACATCTCCTGCAAGTTCAGTCTGAAATCTAGGTGGAGAACGGAACTGCTGTTCAGAGGAAAGAGATGCCAGCAAAAAGTCAGCGAAAACATAAATAGAAGCAATTGTTTTTCACATTTGGCAATGCTTTCAATAACTAAAATTAATTCCAGAACACAAAAATAGAAACACACATACATGCAAATCACTTTCTAGAGGAGAGGCCCTTTTGTAGGACCATTTCAAGGGCAACAGCATCTGGTTCCTGGATGTGTTGCCCCCTAATGCTAACCGTCCAAAGAGAAAAACTTTTGGCTTCTGTGTTTTTGTTTTTGGTAATCAGAAATACTTCAAAAAATAATAATCACTCTTTCAGCAATCATTTGGGAAAATTTCTTCTTACAAAACTGATCTCTCGTGGTAGTACATTTAATGTCTCCCAGTGCACAAAATGGCCTAGGACAGTGAATTTTACTGACTGCTCTGGCCAGGAAATGAGCCAACTGGATCTCAGTAGTATCCTTCAATGGAATTTTCAGTTCTCAGAATACAACCAACACCCTCACTTTACACAATGCTGCACCCTGCAGATGTCCCTAAGGACATCTCCTATCCCCTTTTGACAAATGTCTTCTCCAGCAGTTCCTGTTGGCAAGGGCCTCCAGGACCCATTTCTGGGTACCTGTGACCTAGTTTGCATATGCAATACCTGACACATAATGGCTTAGAAGGTTTTCCTCTCATTTCTTCCATGAGGCTATTTCTGGTTCTTTTGGCTACTTTCAGTCATTTTAAATACAAACAGAAAAGACTCTCCTAAACACAACTGTTTTTTCCACTAGGCACCAGCCAGTGTCCTTTCCTTTTAGGAGGAAACTTAGTGGAGAGAAGCAAGTCCCATGGAGAAGTGGTAGAAGCATAATTTCTCATAGCTCTTGCTATTTTGAGCAAATTTAGTCCTGAAGGCATAGGGACAGGAACAGAGGAAAAAATCCTCTTTGCACTTCCTCTTCTAAATTCCCTTTTCTCCATTCATTCTTGCTTTTGGCTGCAAATCATCTGTACCTTCCTGTTTATTACTGCCTTCCAGTGCTGCTCCTTTTCTGGGTCATTAATAGACCCCGATTAATTCGCTACACCAAGACAACAGAAAAACCAAAGAAATGAATCCATATCAAGTCAGTGATCTCATCTACAGCATGCAAGTGCTGGTGCCAGAGTAACAACTGGGGATGTGGCCAGCTGCAGCACAGGATATGAGTGAAGCTTGGAATAGGACATAGGTAGGACACAGAAGCTCTGTAGGATCTTTGCTGCTCCAACACAGGTATTGGGAAGCAGTGGCCTCATCAGAGAAGGGGGAAATAATGCACACATGCCAGCAGATGAACCTGCTAAGGCTCAGAATCTCAGTGGTGTTTTCCCAAATTGATTATCACACATATCAAAAGTCACGGCCCTTCTCTCTAAACGCTGATGGGAAGCTCTCAATCAGCCATTGAGTCAGAATTATATTCTGTTTCAGAATTATACACATACACAATCAAAGCTTGAAGATAATTTTAATTTATCTAATGCTTTCTAGACAAATATTTAAAGTTTAAAAGAGATTAGTTCAAAAGTTACTTACGTGGCTGTCTCACATTTGGCTTTGGAAGGGAAGGATCTAATTTAAAACAAAAAAACAAAATCCACAAAACATTAGTCAGAGTTCTACATAGAGACTACAAACTACGCAGGTTCTGATCTGACAGCAAAACATTTATTAAAATTTAACTTTTATTAAAAGTTATTTTAATAATATTTTAATTTATTTATTAAAACATTTATTAAAATTTATTAACATTAACTGCAATTTTTACAAACTAGGAATTTCAGGACAACCATCCCAAATTCAGTAATCTCACCTATCTCAGAAAAATTCTATTCATATAACAATTATTCCTCAAGGGACCCTATCTACAGTATCATTCATATATCATATAATTTGCTGGCAAGTACAGTGCAACCTTTCCCAACTCAGATGTCACCAGGTCTGACCTACAGTAACTCTGGTTACCCCTGTGTGGAGTTCTTACACAGCACAGATTGCAAAGGCTGTTTTTAAGGTGATTACATTCATCTGACTACTCACTAGTCCCAAACAGGAGATACCAGCATGCTGCATCACAGGGACAACAACAAAAATCAAACAAAACAAATCAAACACTGGTCATCATCTCCAAAGAATAGTGATTTATGGCACGATACACCTACTTTATCCAAATTGTCCAATGACTATGTGCTGATTCACCCATTTTCCTGAGTCCTACTTGGTATTCTTGGAAGTTGTGTGGGTTTTTTGGTTTGGTTTTTTTAATTATATATAAGAAATGAAAGATCATAGCTATTGTAACAAAGCTATTATTCTTGGCAAGAACATCAAATATCATCATTATCAGTATGTAACAGAAAGAGACAAGTAAACAAGTGTTGAAAAAATGAAGAATTTTCCCTTCTTTTGCTGAACTGGCTTCTCTTATCTTTCTCCAAGAATGCCACCTCAAGCAGAAGAGCTAGAGATTCTGGCTTCAGACCCAAGGACCTGTTTGGTTAGCTGCAGTTTGATACTGGATTGCCCAGTAACTCAGGGGTCTCATTACAATTCCAGCACATCTGACTATGTCAGTGCAACAGATGTAAAAGGATTTGATTCAATACTTGTTTTTATATCTTTAGAAACTGGAAAAAAAAATTGTTTAACTGTTATGCAAACATAGCAGCACCAAAACCCCTTGAAAATAAATATATTTATTTATTTAAAGTGTTCTTAAACCAAGACTATGCTTCTAACTTCTAAAACCCAGATGGTAGCACTAAACTTGCAGCAATATCCTTTAGACCATTAGGCTCTGAGACATGTGAGACACGTGCCTACAAAATTTAAAAAAGCATTTTATTCTTAAATTGTGTTATTGACTCTTGTTCTAACACAAGAGTGTCTCTTGGCAGATGACAGGAAACAGGTGAAACAAGTAAGAAACAGGTGGGTGTGTGAGGGGGTGTGTGGGTGTGCATGCACAAATAAGCTGGAAAGTCAAACAAACATAACAGCAACAGTATAACTGAATGTAAAATTTGTGAGGAAGGCTGGACTGAAACCAAGGAGCAGTGAAAAGTTCAAACATGGGTAAGGGCACTATCAGATTGTCCAAACACTCCACTAGCATATCCCAAGTGCCAAAAAAATTCCTTCTGAGCTGAGGGGAAAATGAATTTTCCATGCTCTTTCTATCACTGGCTTCTCTACAGAGAATATGAAATCTGCTAATGATAAGCTGTGTAGCCCATTATCAATTCTCTTCAGTCATCCAGTTCTTACATGTACTTCATTGTGGTTTGCTCAGAGCAATTCAGCAGGGAGAATTCTTGAAGTCCACAATAAACATCTAATTTAAAAACAAGAGCAACCAGCCTTTAGAACTATTGTAATTTTCTATGTAGGATAGAGGCACTTGTTCGTTGCCCACTTGACCTCCTCTCTATGACCTGTCTCCTTTTGCAGTAGAAATACGAATATAAAGTGTTCACACTTCAGCAAAAGTCTGAACAATGACAGTGGTAGATTATTTCAGCAGAAGAACATGTAATTCCTATCATTTAAATGGCCATCCATATGCCTTTCATTGAACTGGGGGAGAGCATGCATGTGAAATGCAGGAATGCCAAAGGAAAGAATGTGGTATGGAGTTAGGTTTGAGACACTTCCACTGGGATCTAGTGCAATAATATAACCAACAGTCTCATAAATAACTAACAAAATTAGGAGGGAAGGAAGAGTTATTCTCATTTGGATATACCACTGTGATTTCTAGTACAGTCAATGACAGTTATAAACTTATGATTGAAGAAAACAAAAGACACTTTTGCAACAACCAGTTTGTTCTGACTTTTGAAATGTCAAGTGCATAATTTTCACAAGTGGCTTGCTGAGCAGATCCAAGGGCAGCACCTCACATAGTGTGGTTTATAACAGTGAAAGCTGGTCTGTTCACAATATAGAAAATGAAGAACACCACCTCTGAGAGGTAAATTCTACTGTTCAGTAGGATGATATAATTTCTTCGAACCTTAGGTTCACGTATTGGCCAACACGGTATTTGGCTTTAGAAAGGGGTTGCTTGATTCACTGCAGGACAACTGCACACCAACAAAGCTATGTTGTTAATGAGTCACTCTGTATTATGTCTAAAAGCTGGGATGTGCTGGGGAGATTTCCACCAAACATCCCACAATTAGAATAAATCACCCACAATGCAATGAAATACTCTATCACACTGTTGTCTTGTAACTAATCTTTATAAATTTAGCTTGTCTTTGCACACTAAGACCTTGTGCCTCTGACAAAGACAACATTCTGAGTGGAGCCCAAGATGGGAGCTGTGCACAATGCTCCACACATCACAAGGGCAAGAGAGCTGAGAGTACGACTCTGTTTATTGAAAGCTGAATTTCAGTTGCAGGATTTACTCTTTCCCAATAGAAAGTCCGCTGAAATAGAATGAGAGTTGAGCAAAAATAAAGCACAGAAGCAGGCCCAAAGCACAGTTTTAAGTGACAGATCAGATACTCACCTTTAATTCATAGTAGATTTGATTTGTATTAACAAATGTGTAAAAAAACCCCTCCAAAACTAAATATGAGCTGACTTGCAGAGTTAGACAGAAGCAGTTGTTGCTTATGTCCCCTAGCAATGCTGTACTGTACTTTAAATTGTCGGAAGACTAAAAAGCATGCACTGTACAATGGAGGTTAAAGGACTTCTTTAAGTCTTCTTTAAAAGATCCCCATCTTTTTGATGCTCCCTAAAAAGCATTCCAAAGGTCAAAAAGCCTTTGGACACTATTGGAACATTTTGATTCAGCCTCTCCAAATCCCACAATCAGTTACTAACCATACTCATTTTCTTTCAATAAAGATTACAGAATCAAAGAAGTCCCACCGAAGTGGAGCACCTTTGTGCATCTCATCTTTTGCTCTCAATAGTTTAACTGTCTAATGAGTCTCCAGTGGCCACCTTTTTGCTTTACAAACTTATCAGGCTTTAGTATCCTCAATACTTTGTAATTCCACTATTGTTATTCCTAGAATATTTACAAGTGCAATAAATAAATGATAAAGTAGGGAGCAGAGCACTGCCTTTGATCTCTGGGTAACAAGATTACTGCAAGTGCTAATGCTGCATTCATAGTTCCAAACCCCATATTATTTTGCAGCACAGCATTCCTTTCTCTATGTCTGGCAAAACCACATGTCCAGAGATCAATACAATCAGAAAACAGCAATGAACTGCCATGGTGACTGCTACCAGGGAAATGTCTAAACTAGTAATATCTTACAGGCACAGATTCACCACAAGATTACACAATGCCACAGTACCTGGAGCACTCCCTCATTTCAAGCTCCTGTATGTTCCACAATATAATAAATATAGTTTTATTAAACAGTTCAAGTTCATTTTCATACCTTCTTGTTTTCCTTCATGTGTTATTACAAGGGGCTTGGTGAAGGTTTTCTTGTTGTGCATCATGGCCAGGATCATATCCACATTCAGAGAGGTGCAAGCTTCATCAGGAGGAATGCACTGCCAGCAGAAAGAACAGTGTGTGAGGTCAGAGACTCACCTGTTTGCCAAGAACCTCCAAACAGCCCCCACGTAATGTACTGGTAAAGGTAATTAGCTCTATTTCAGGATGCAACCTCTGCCTTCGTTAAGGATTCTCTACCCTTTATGAGACTGTTAAACTTCAATGGTAGTAATTGTTTTATTTTAGGATAATTTTTTTTTCTAAAAATCTGGTAGCCAAAACTGTAGCCATTAACACGTGTTGATGAAGAATGAAAAATCATCTTTAAAAAATACATTTTAAGTGAAATGTACATAAACACCAAATTAAAAATAAATTCTGAATTCTTAGAATACATTCTTTAACAATTAATTTATATACAATTCCATTAGTTACAAAGCAAAATTTGGCAATTGTCTTTTGAAGCAATCAGATCACAATATTATCTGATATGATGCATGTCTTTGGAAACTGAAGCTAACATTGTGCTTTGGATATTCATGTGATATGGACAGCAAAGATCAATCTGAACCACTTGTGTAATAAAAAGCAATTTCTATTCGTAACCATCCAATGAAATTTAAACAGAACCTGCAAATCATGTAGTCAAAATGCATACTGTAATAACTTTTCTCTATTAAAATCCTGAGCCTAGAGATACCACGCTTATTACATCAATTCCACAGAAAACCATTTATTCACTTCAGAGGTCAGATGAGAAAAATGCCTTATTTTCATCTAAATAATAAGATTTAACTTTATAAATTACTGACCTTTGGCAGTCCTTGAGTATCTTTGTCTTTATTTGTACACAAAGTCAACTCGCAGTGAAGAAAGAGCAGTGAGATGTTGAACATTGGTTTAAACACAAAGCTAAATCTTTTTTTGTCCCTCTGTGCATGTGGTACTGGAAAATTCACCTTCTCAATACTGTAGAATTTAACAGATTCATCTTTAGGACAAATGTTTTCTATAATGGTATAGTCAGACATTCTATCTGGATTTGAAAACGGGGAAACAAAGCATGTCTGAATGGCAAAGCCCAAGGATCTGTCAGCTTTAGTCACAGACACCTGCATTAAAAAGAAAGAGACGGTAAGATCTCAGAAATGACATTTTTAGTTCACATTTCATTAATATTTTCAACAATTTTTAAAGCAGTTTTCCGGTGCCATTTCCAATCTGAACTATTTTGAAGGCTAAATGTTAAGAGTAGACTGTCAAACTGAGAGACAGAAAATCTGTGGTTTCAAAATCAGCAGCTGTTTAACAGCATAACCGTGCATAAATCCAGCAAGCCCTTATCTTCCTGAAAGCAGATGAAAAACCCAGCCCAGATGAGACACACAGTTAATGACTGCGACTGCCACCTGAAATGGCACTGCTCCCCTCAGACACACACACTGTAACAGGGCTGGATGGAAGTCAGTCACTTATTCCATATCTTTGTATCTGTTTGAAACTATAATGAGAAAGGAAAAATAAAAAGTAACAGACACAGAGAACCCACTCCCAGCCATGCCAGGAATGCAAAGGCAGAGGGAGGTCACGGTCTGACGTGTGGGTGGCATTCCTGGACTGGAGGGGTTGAGGGAGCCTCCTAAAAGCCATAATTTCTTGTGAAAGAATCTTTTTAGTTTATTGTAAGTTTGAAATTCATATTCTTTTATGAAAAATAATTAAGACTGCAAACTTCCGAGGCCCTGATGTTGCTCAGCTGGGCTGGAATGCAGACAACAAATGCTACAGAATAATTAGAAGAAAAAAAAAAGGAATTTGTAATAAATGAGCCATGTTGCTCTTAATAAACAACAGAAGCATTGTTTCTAACCATTAACACTGCCCAGTGAAACAGTTCCACAAGAAATAATTTTTTTCTCAGAAGAAATGTGCCTTATCTGTGTACTTAATCCATATGTGCCTCATGTATCTTTAAGGAAGAGCCTGCCAAACTCTGTGGTTTGTGCAGTAATTTTTGAGTGTTATGAGTTTTGCAGTGAATAAAGGCATTTCTCATTTTTTCTCTCCTTTGTGTGAGCAGCAATCAAACTAGAGATGAAGGGACATGCAAGGGATTTTCTAAGCAAGAAAGACCATCTTCCAAAAAGAACAGAAATAAAGATGGATAAACAAAAGTCAGCCACTAATACTGACAGGAAACAAGCTGCTGGTGTAAACTAGTTTAAAAAGACATTATGGGAAGGAGGACAGGCATACTACAGTTCATTAAATAAAAGAGTGAACGATATCTCAAGGAAAGAAAAGAACTACAGGAGGAAGGTGAAAAAATGACAGAAGAGAAGAAAAAAACCCACCCAAAATATTCAAACCCAAAAAGTCTTTAGCAGAGAAGGAAAAGGGAGATCCAGAGTTCTTACTGATTATGACCTATTTATCAACCCCCTCAAATATATTTGTTAACAAAAAATGCAAAATAGAAACAAAACCACAAAAACAAATTATCTGTGTCTGTTAAAAAATGAAGTCACAGAAGTTCAAAACTGATACATTTTTCAATGCAGAAGAAGGAAAAACAGGAAAAAAAAAAGGCTTCTGCCAGGACAGGTGATGAAGAAATCAGAACATCTGTCTGAATAAACAGCTACAGAACCAGACAAATCCAGAGGGCTCGGAGCCAAGGGGATTCATCTCAGATCACTGAAGGAAGCAGACGGTTTTACCCCAATGAAAAAAAAAGAAGTGTCTTTTATAAACATATTCATAACTGAGTGTGACATACTTTCTTTTTGCTTCAACTATCCTAAATTCTTTTCACTGGGTAGAGAACAAGGAAGAGACACAACACACTGAAATCATGAAGAAAACTTCATCAGGACATGCCAGTTCAGAGCAAGAGCCCAGAGATACCTTTAAGTTCTGCACAGAAAAACAGATTTGGCAAGAATCACCAGTTCACCTAGTATGAAAAATTCATCCATTTTGCAAGAATCCTTTCGTTTTTACCCAAAATATTGTCCTACTCCTACTTCTTACCCCTCAGGTTCTGTTCTCTGCAGCCACCACAGTAGCTACCTGCCTGTCTCAACCAACCACCCAAAACCCTTCAACTGACAAGAACAGATTTGGCTCAATTGTGTGGCCTTGCAAAATACTTCTGTTAGTTTGAAAGCCTTTTTCAGCTTGTTACCTCTACATATACTGGCCCATTCTCAGCAACAGAGAAGAGTCCTTGGGAGGGAGCAAGGAACAAATCTGTTTTGTACAGCTCCATGTTGAAGGTCACATTGGTGATGTGTGGTTCAGGAGGCCAGAATATGCCTCTGTCATCCTCTGGCTGGTGCAGTGTGCAATTAAACTGAAAGGAAAAAAAAAATACAGTAACATCCTGAGTTAGGAGTGGTGGCTGGATAAGGACAAATCTGGTGTGTGGAATACAGGCCCCCCATGTTCCAACTACTTAGTGTAAATCTTCAACAGGGTCATAGGAAATAGTAGTGAGAAGAAATGTGTTAAAAGACAAATTAATTTCTATACAATTAATGTAATTTAGGTGGAATATGCCTATTGCAATAGGTATTTCTTTATTGTCAGGTGCAAACCGAGAGTAACGTACCGCTATTTCAGGCCAGCTTGAGAAAGAAACGTCTCCCTCATCAACATCCCCTGGAAATCCATTATCACCTGATTCCATGTCATCATCATCAAAGCCGCTGCCTTCAGCTGGTGATGACAGCTGAATGACAATCTGCTCAAAAGATATTACAAACAGATTAGATTAGATATAACTGAGCACTCTCATGGTTATTATTTTCTTCTCTCTTCAGAACAATGCAAAGGCCAAAAGAAGAGCACCAGCTAAGCAGATAGTGAAAGCACGCCTTAAACCGCTTTATGCTGAGCATGTAGGACATGCAGCTTGTATTTAGAGAATGCTCCTTAGATTTTTTTCCAGAATTCAGAGCCAGTAAAGACACCAGTCTGGGTGTTGGTGTCTGAATGAGCAACCTAGCATTTCTGTTCTATTTCTGGTATTTCTATAACCAACACTGAAAAAAGAGATGGCTTTCTAAAGTGATTTTTTACAACTCACAGTTTTCCTTAATGCACTCAGGAAAAATCACTAGAAGTGTTAGGTTATTACAGGATGTTCTCATCTGCCACTTGCATTTTTTTCTCCAGAGATGTAAACCCAAAAACATTATGTCCCTTCTTCATCTTCCCCTTGTTTTTCACTGAATTTGTACTAAATTTCAACCTTTTTTTTTAATCCTTTGCATACTTCTCCATTACTTCACCTGCAGATTCCTGGGGGTTTGTTTTCCAGTGCTCTGCACTCTGCTTCATTATGTCTTGTGGGTCTTTAGCTAGTTCCCTCCCTTCCAGGACTTCAACTTGTTTTCTTGGACACAGAGCAACTGCTAAAAAGTGGCATGTACACACCCTTTGACACTCCACTACAGGGTGTTTATTTTTTAGGAGAAACGCTCCCAAATTCTGAAAAAATACCATATGGGTTTTGGAGTTCAAGTGTGTAGCCAAAACTATTAAAAGATCTGACAGAGAAAAGAGAGGAGGTAAATGACCATTTTAGTTTGGGTCATAATAGAATACAGGGACAATGACAGTATTTAGCTCCAGACACACACTACTCTGTAGTCTGCTGATGATTCTATCCACAGTGCTGGTTTGGGACTGTTTCTAAACTTAGGTGCTACCAACTCACCAGTATAGAACAGTTTTAACCAGGCAAGGTCACATCAGATTGCCTTAGCTGTGTTTGGGTTGGACCACAGGCTTCCTATCATTTGCCAAGGTTACTTCTATGTACTGGAAAGCTCAGCAAATGTGTCACTACTTTCCAACCCAGATTAGATGCATTGCACTCAGGCTCATAAGCTGAGCCAGCCTGGAAGCAGTTGCTTACAACCTAACTGTGCTCCTTTGCATCATCACTTATATGCAAGTACCCAAGAGTCCCTTCATCATGTACATCAAGGGGCAGAAAATATGTATTCAAATTCTAAAAGAGAAGTATGCATAATTAATGTATTTTCCTCATATTTTAAGAGCCTTTTTCACACACAATTTTAGAAGAAAAAATTTTCACTTAATTCAGCATACAAATTAATTGGTATTGCTTTGTACAATTACAAAATTCCCATTCCTCCTTACAGAATACAGTACTGCTTATGTATGAATGCATCAAAGCTGCACAGGGAAAGTTGGTGCAAATTCTCTGAGATTGGTACAGATAGTCCCCAAAGGGTAGCCATGCAGTTTTGTAAAAAGTATTTAACTCCAACTCCTCCTTTTTCCTTCGGGATACTATCTGACCACAGGAGCACATACTGCATATGCAGCCTTCATGCCTCCCTGAATACAGGGACTGTGGCTGCAGTGAGGTCTGAGTTGGACAGGAAAAGATCGGGACTCCTCCTTTTTACTAAGACTAAAGCTAACTGTAACAGCTTCCTTGTACTATGATGTGCAGTGCAGAAGGTGGATCCTCTCTGTAAAATACTCACAGAGTTAAAATAAACGATCCTGTTCAAGATATATGCTGTCCGAGTCCCACACTGGTTCAGCGCAGACTCCAAAATGAAATGGGTGCCATTCATCCTGGCTTTGCAAGAGTGATCCAGCAGTGAGAGCTCTGTCCGTGTGTAGCCAGTGGCCTGAAACAAAGATGCTTTGTGAGTGACTGAAACACAATTGTGTTCAGCTCTGCTTAAAGAGCAGTTCAGAACACTGTTCATGACTGCTCATAGGAGGAAGTGAAGTTCATTGTACTGGCATCCAGGGAAGGTCACTCTCAAAATGCTGTTACACATGACAGGCAGGGAATAAATGTAACATGGAACGAGGAAAACAACAGGTTCATTATTCATCTTCTGATTAATAATGCTAACTCTGGTCTGAAATGAGCTAAAAATGCTGTCTGTATCAGGCTCTTTTCCACAATACAAATGGACACAAGCAACCTGTCAGCTGGTTAGATAGTACAGACAGATCTATTCAGGTTTCACATTGCTATCAAACCCAACTTCTTTGTGCTTTGAAAATTAAAAACAGACTGATGGTTGAGCACACTAATTTTTCGACAGAGTCAATTCTGCAAAGCTTTAATAGGAAATCCCTCTAAAAACCAGCAGGTTGTTGTGAAGAGGAAACACGATTCTGAGTTATGGCAAAGAATATCTACAGTATAGTTTCCTCACCAAACTATTTTTGGGAGGTTGAGCGGTGATGGTTGTAGATCTTAGAGTGTTTATTTTTTCAATCAAAATGCAAATACAATGGTCTGTCCAAAAAAAGCCTACCCAATTTTGAGAATAAGACAGCCCACCAACCTGAAGAGCATCTTTTTCTACAGCTACTGTCATGGTTTTGTCATCACACTTTATTGACAGGGCCACATCAGCACTGCCCTGAACCTCTTCTGGTTCTTTATGTTTTGAGAGGGAATGTCCAAAGTCATGATTTATTAATGTATCTACTGAGTGCCTAGATGGGAAGATTTCTTCTCCCACTGTGTCATGCCTTCCTCTGTTAATGTGAAATGGAAAAGTCAGGCCATCACTTAGTGCAGGATTCTTTGGAGCAGGCAGTGGATTAGCTCCCAGCAATTCTGTCAGCTCTGGAGGAAGGGAATGGTCTTCTTCGTCATTCATCTCTTCTGAAAAATAAAAACCCACAAAACAGACAAGCCCCCACACATAAGTTTATTAGATATTTTTCCTGAAAAGTATCCAGAAATAATAATTTTTATTAAAAAAATCCAGAAAAGAGGCTCCTGAAGGACATCCAAAGCAGCGTCTTTGTACTTTTCAGGTAACCAGCCACAACTCCTCCAACTAAAGGTTTAGTTGTTCCTGAGGCATCTCATCTCCCTATACTTAGTCCCTGCTAAAAATCTCCCTCACTAAGGGCTGAAAATAAACTTTAAGGTGTATACCTATTATATGCAAAAGAACCACAGAGGTAAAAGAAACATCACATCATCAAATATACTATTTTAGTGCTGCTGAAATAGTCTAAGTGCAAATCATTGGGTGAAATTCTTCCATTACCCCACCCACCACAAATTCATTCTCTCTACTGTTGTGAAACTACTTACATAACCAGAGTGAAGCTAAATGATAGTTAACTTTATAGTGAGTAAATGAGAAAACTATCTCCTGGCTTACACATGTGACTGCTCAGGACAGGAATCTCAACATCTGGCTCAGACAGATGTAACCCATCAGAGTGCAACTGATAAAATGAATGTGAACATAAGGTTTATCAAAATGGTAAAACAATAGTTTTAATGGTTTAAATTCAGAATTAGTGAGAAAAACAGACGTAGCTCTGCTAGCTTCAATGGACCCAGATATCTTTACATTAGCAATGACTTTGGTCAAATAACTTTTTTTTTTAAATGCTCGTATTTATTATCATGTCTGCAAACAATTTAAATGTTTCTTTAATTGTCTCAAGAAAACACTATGCTCATACTTTTGGGAAAAAAACCAACATCATAAAAAAAAACCCAAAGCTGGACTTACAAACTAACAAGATATCTGGTTGCTGAAGTCCATTTCAGTGAACACTAAGCATGGTCAGATATAAAGTCTTGTGTGTTGGATAAAGTATAAACACCTAATTCCACCAACATTTCAGGAAATAAAACAACTTGCCTAGACTTTTCTAATCAAAAAGACGTCATTCACAGATATTACCAGCATTCTTGATGATGAGCAGTAAAAGCAGTGCAACACTCAAAACCAAAGCTTCAAAACTGAGAAAACATCTTCTAAGTCATTGTACTCCTGGAAATACAAGATGTATTTTTTCTATATGCTAAAAATCCATCTTGAAGCTTACCTGTATCTTCAAGTTGCAGATGAAATCTGTTAGCAACAGGAGCTTTTGTATAGGAAGTAACTGGACTATAGTTATGCTCATAAGCCCACTTGATCAAACTCTCATGCGATGAGGGAATATCAGGTATTACTGATTTACTCATAGTCATGGACCGTTCTGTTTCCTTTCCAAAACCAATACTATTTGATGTCTGCAAATAAAGACAAACTTGGTTGGTGATTTATGAGTTAAGGACACTTAAAATGGAATAATGACACCAACTGAACCTGTTTTTTTATTCTGCTTTACTCTATTAAGTAACAGCAAACTGAGCACACCTGGGAAATAAAGCAAACCCTGGCACCATAGGCACGTAACTGCTGCATACATGGAAAAAAGTCCCCCCCTTCCTGCCAGCCTCTGGCTGGAGTACAATAAATCAAGGTAGTTAAAAACTGTTAATCCTGAAATGAGACAAAGACATATTTACAGTCACTTGTATAATGCAATACTTTCCTCAAAACTGAGCTGAAATTACTTCTGAGATATGGTGAACTCAAGGTGACAACTGATTTTTCAAATGTCCCCTTTGTTTCTCTGATGAGAGCATTACTTCAGCTGCATAAGGGAAAACCTTTGTTCAAGCGAGCATTACTGAAAAAGGCAAAGCAGCGTGCTCATGAAGTGGAGCTGATACCAGCTAATGCTTTAAAGTCAGCTGGCACCCAGGACAGGCTGTGTCTGAACGAGCACCCTAGAAAGGCTGTGTGCCTCCTGTAAATTTTTGACTATGTTAAACAGGATTGAATTAAATGTTTAATAGAGCAGTAAGTGAGAGCATGCACATTTATGCATGCCCAGACTACTTAAAAAACTACATATACTTTCTGCATACAAAAAATTTTAAGATTTAATTAACAATACAAGTTTTACACAAATAAATCAATATAGAAAACTCATAAATGCACTTGCATGTTTCTTTTTTTTTTAATTACTAAATAATTACAAATAATGCCTCAAAAAAGTTGGCACTGGAATCCATATGAGTCACACTGTCAGTTAGTTTCCATTTTCCGGTAAATGTTTTGTTAACTTTCAAATTTTCTTTTCCAAATGGGCAAGTCAAAGAAATAGAACAAGTATCTCTCACTGTTAGAAGGGCAGTTAGAAAATATTAACTGGTACTCTACTTAAACTTGAATTTAAGTGCTTGGCATCTTTAACATGTATTCACACAAAGTTAAATACATATATATTTATTTTTACACTCACGACACTACTATTACCACTATAACAATCACATCAGTGACAACAGAACAAGCTGAACATAGATGCTGCAGGAAAGGCACGATGACCCACTTTTCAATGATTTTTGCAATGTGATTGAATTGCACTCTTTAATGCAGCTGATACCATGGAATGTTCCATAAACACTTCAATTTCCATGCTCAATTATCTTCTCCATCATATAGGTTGTATTTTTTTTTCATGCCCATTGCTTTTCCTCGAATCTTAAATCTCTTTCACTCTAGAACATCAAAGGATTAACTGTTGAGATCTCTTTTAGATAGTGGTCGTATGGACATGCTATGCAGGTCATAGACCTTGGCTGCACTTCTCCACCTGACATCAGAAATGACTTTGGAACAAAGAAGTGAATAAAGCACATAGAGTCCTGACCATATGGTAGAGTTTACTTTCAGCTCCCTCCCTCATTTCTTGCTAGAGATCCAGGTCTGCAGCTTTTAAACATTTGCAGTTTCACAATAAAAATAAGTTTAGGTACAGAGTGTCTGGTCTGATGATACTAGAACCAGCAAAGGCCACTGAAGGTAAGAAACAAAAATGGAGCAACAGGTATCCTAATTTTAGTGCCTTATACTGCTTTGGATCAACTGATCTTTGATCTTCAAAAGATGCAATTCTGGACATGACTGATCACGCATTTTCATATTATCACAGCTTTGACTGGTTGGAATTATTATGCTATCCCAACGTTGCTGCATCTGACTCTCAGCTTCCATTTACTTTTCTTGTCAGAAGGAGACAGCTGAACAAATAGTATCCCAGAAGTTTACTGTCCTAGCTGGCACCCAAGCACTTCCAGAGCTTGTTTATACCACTCCACTCCACACTGAGCCTGCAAGTGTTCAATCCTGCATCACCTTAGTGAAACAAAACCGAGAACGAGGGCTTGCAGGAATAGACCTCCTGCACTTGTCTGTCCTGCCAACACGTTCACAGTGTCTGAAACCAGGCAATCAGAGACCCCTCTGACCTACTCAGAAGAGAGAGATATCATTTCTGAAAGTGGTAGTAGGCAGCTTCTCTCACGTAAAGAACAGTCCCTCCAAACTTTTGAAACCCTCACAGGCTTCTGTGCATTTCATTTCTCTCACTCTTTGCCCCTCAACACACTTATATTCTTTCTGCAACTTCGCTGTGCAATTTCCAGCTTTGCAAAGGGACACCATAAGCAAAGGAAGCAGCGTGAACAGCAGCCTACAAGCACAGAACCACACGAGCACTGCACAGGGGCTGCAGTAAGGACAAACTGCACGCTGGAGTTAAACTCAGCCTGGGAGGAAAGCACTGCACACGCATTATGTGCAATTACTTTACCTAAACGGCTCCCATTTTGCTTGTGTTTGTATACATCCCCTTCCAGAGTTTCAAGAAACACAGCAATCTGGGAGATGAGCTACACGACCTACAATGTCTTTTTCATTTTTCATCCATGAACTTAGACCTCAATAACTCACAGTCCTGGGTTTGAGGCAGCTTAGCAAGTAACCTTTCCCTCTCAGTCTGCCAATCCCCTCAAGACAATTCTGATTCGTACTGAGGGCAAGAAGTTAGGAAAATTGAAGTGCATGGAACTGCTTCAACTAATAAAAAGAACATTGTGAAACATTACCTAATTGCTTAGTAATGTTTTTATGCATTGTCTAAATTTGGGCTTGGAAAGGCCTTCAGCTTAACAGAGATATGAACAGATCCTAAATGTTGGATATGCAGACTTTTTAATGACATGGGGGAGTGTGGTCCCCTCCCACACCCCCTCTAAATAAAGGAGAACACATTCAGAAAATGAAGCATCTATATACATAAAGCAGTAAAGCAGTTACTCACAAATCCCAACATACAGACCAAGTCTTTTATATACTGACACTTTCATATATATTTTATGTATTATTTTTTCTTTTTGTTAATCTAAATAAAGTTTTACCTTCTGCCACTCATTAGAGAGGAATTTTTAATTACTTTTTATAATTATACTATTTATAATGTTTATATGTATACTGTTATAATTAATAATAATAAAGAATTGAAAAATAATAGCAGCTCTCCTTTTCTATATTCAAGTACAGCATTTTAGAAATTTAAAAACTCTGTAGAAATCCTCTCCCTGAAAATTGATCATCCATAAAGTGATAGCTTCATGGACATGAAATATAGTACTTGAGTTATCTCCAATGCAGGGAGTGAACTAAGGCACAATTCTCTATCATGTGAAAGCAGACCCATATGGGCCTAAATATGCAGTGGTGAATTTTATGTAATAATCCAGAATGAAACTTTCAAGTCAAGCCTTGTTTTTTTGCCCTTCTGCTTACAAGAGTGGTAATCTTCAGCAACTAACCTTGACCTTTCTCTTTAAGGATTGATTATTTAGAAACTACAGAATGACCAGAACACCCTTTTCTGTCTGTAAGACTAATATGTGATAGGGATGAAGAGGGACTTTCATCATCCCTAGATAATTTCTCCATTCAATTTTCTGAGCAACACCAAAATTTGTTTCCTTTTATGTCCTTCACTCTCAAAATATAGCATGAAATCCTGCCTACCAATTTGTCTTCTTAAAAGATTTAGATCAATCAACCTTTGGACCCTGTCAAAACTGCCCTTACACCCATCAGAAGCAGAAAGCTACTCAGCAAAGTAAATATCCCACAAATAGAGAGCTGGAGTTTGAAAAAGTAACTGAATTACTGCAAAACTGCTGATCAGGAGGCCACGGGGTGGTCCTGAGCAAACATTCAGCTCAACTGTACCACGTGTTCTTAACTGATCACTTAAGACAGAAATAGGCCACATTTATTGACTGCGGGATCAGACCAATTATGTTTATTTATTTCAGACCAAGGGAAAACACATTTTCTTAGTAAAAGTGGTACTGAGCCACAAAGCCTGTACCAAAAAAACCAATGTGAACCAGCATCTCCAGTAATTTTAGAAGTTTAGCTTTAGAGATCCTGGTTTTAACTTTTTAAAAGTTTATTATTTGTGGATTAAAGAGAGATAAGGTCAATTTGACCAAACATTTACTGGGGACAGAAGTACTGGTAGGGAAGAGGGATAAAGACTAATACAACCACAAGCAGGAGAAGTAATAATGTTTCCACTTCTAAGGGTTGTGGGTTTGTGCCACATATTCAGTATTATCCATTCTGCACTCACAGGCATTGTTCCAACTTCTGAGATGAACCTGTAGATCCACTCACTAAAGTAACAATAAAAAGGGACACGAACATCCAACTTTGTGTTTTGGGTACTTCAACAGAAGTTGAAAAGACACAGACCCTAAATCCTTGCACTAGCCACCTGGCTTCTGTGATGTGTTGGTCTAGTAGCCCATATACTAAAAACTAACAGGACAAAACAGTTCCTGTATTTACTCCCTGACATGCAGTAACAATTCAAAAAAAAGGCAATTAAGAGAAGATGTTCAGAAATCAATACAATCCAGCACTATAACACATTTAAGTGGATTCTATACTGTTGCAGTATTATATCTCTCAAAAAATAAAGGTGCCTTAACTTACAATCACTTCCAGCTTTCCCTGGACATCATGAGACTTGATAACCCAATTGACAGACTTTCTACACTTGAGGATAAGTACGACATCTCTGACAAGTCTGGCGCCTGGTTGAGATGGTTTAATGTCAACGATTATATCCACCTGGAGAGCACTGTATGTGGAAAATAGAAAGTTAGAACAGAATGCCAGAAATTTTCAGCTATCAACCTTCTTCCAATCCATCATGTTTCCACTGTCTGGCCAGCTGATTAAAATGCTGGATATTATCCCAGGCAACACAACATGTGCAAAACAGATTGTTATTCCATATACGCTAAAGTGATTTTGCATAACAAGAGAAACAAGTACTTTTTAGACAAATAATATTGCTGTCTCTTATTTACAAAGAGTGTGCTATTCATTTCAGATATTATTTAGAGGAGGTAAGTTATATGACTAGCAGGTTGCTTTATAAAATAAACATTGTTTTCTTATTTTCCTCTGACAGAGTGTAAATATAGCTGTTTCAGTTTCCTCTGGCTACAACTGTATTGAAACTCAAAATGACACCTTTAAGAAGGCAAAAGACAAATTAGGCAGGTTAACACACACACAGAGAAAACCCAAACCAAAGCACAAATACTGTATTGGGGGATGTCAGTGCTTAGGCAGTTAAATTGTGGAAATTACTTTGCTTAGGATCTTGCGTGTGTTGAGGAATTAAGCAGTGTATTCAGTTCCCAATACTTCTGGATATCTACTTACTCGAAACAGAAAAAAATCCAGATGTCCTGCCCACTGCTTGCTGGAAAATAGATGAACACTATACAGACTTTCAAGATCTCAGTAAAATAAGCAAATGGGCAGAGCAAATGGGTTTGTACCCATCAATAACACCTTGTCATACAAAATATCAATTCAACAGAAAAACATATACTTTCAGACCATCTTATGGGGCCATACATCACAAGAACGTGCTCATCCCCAACTAACAGGTTTCAACTAAAATTCTGCACTAAGACTTAAGTGTTTTTTGGGGCATTTGTCTCATCTCCTGAAGTTCTACACACACGCAGATCGGCTTCTGTGTGTTTCTTTGAGGATTTAAACTTTGTAAAGATAGTTATGGATAACACATAAAACTAAGAACAAAGCAGTTTATTACTTCTTTTATTTTTAATAACAAAATATTTAAACATTTTCAGTGTTATCTGAAAACCAAACTCCTACTATTGTACTATCAGTCAATGCCAAAAGCCCAGCAGGCTTGGAACCCGGGCTGTCATTGCATGACACTACACAGGACGTAGAATGATGCTGATGCTAAAGATCAGCTCTGTTCAGGATGGGGCTGCAACTCACACCACACAGAAGCAAATCATTTGGGGTTACCTACTCCCCTTCCACCACATCTCACACTTTTTTATTCTCCCCAGGTTGCTAGGCAAGAATATTGTCAGGCTCTGGATCGAACATCCTGTAATGAGATAATTACCCTTTTTTACAAAGACCCCTCCTCCCATCTCCATCTGCCTGTGTGATTTTCTCATTAGGGATAGGACATGCTCATGTGTAACTGCATGAGGAGCATGACTGGCCAGTGCTGGATATCTGGTGTCAGCACTAAGCAGACAGGATTTTAATGCTATCTCATCTTTGATGAAATTGTAATCATCTACGTTTCACAGCTGATTTCTGTTCTAGTAACCATACTCAGCACTTAGGATGAGCTTTTTCAAGTATGACTATCTGAAGCAAACCCCATTAATTCTCCCACTAAGACCTAGGAAAGACTAGCAAAGGATGAATGTTTTAAATGTCCTACCTTCCAAAGGTACCTTTGACGATTAGATAATCCTCATAATATGTACAGAGTTGTCTTCTCTAACCACTAGTTATAAACTTTTTTGGTCAGTGATTCACTGTCAACCCTTAACATTTCTTGCAATTATCAAACTATCCCTTAAATCCAACTGGAAACTTGTCAGAGAATACTGTCATGAATCTTCAGACCAACTGTGGAACAATTACCATAGACCACAGATCATTTGCAACCTCTGGACCACTGTTTGGAAGCCACTGCCCTAGGCCTTCTTGCCAGTCATTCCAAACAGTGACACGTCAAGACTACTTTCAACTTCTCTCTCACCTCCTCATACAGTAGTCTAACCTTAAACCCTCTCTGTCAGATGCTGTCCTTACTGATGTTCCCTTATTCATCTTAGTCTTGGAAAAATTTGATTGATTGAGCAAGAAGGGGGGCAGGATATAGTCCATAAAAACTGTGCTTTGCAGTCTTGTCCAGAAAGATCCTGAGACTATGAAGCAGAACCCAAAATCTTTACATACTGAGGAACTAATTTCTATTTAAGGCAAAGTACTAAAGTTGAAGTTTTTCTTCTAAGTATGAAATGGCTACTTTCAGTTGATTTTTAAACAGACAGGTGAAACCTTTAGTTATGATTTCAAACATTTTTAGTCTATTTAGATGATACTTACCTGTTTGGATTGGAATTTGGAGTGCTTAGTTCAATGATATGAACTTCTCTTTCTTGGACTAAGTTAGACATAAGGCACCCCTCTGCTGGCTTTGGTTGAAGGTATCCCGCAAGGTAATTTAAAGAGAGAAAATTCTTTTTAATGTTGCACGAGGGAGGAAAAACTTGATCTGGAGAGGGAAAAAAAAAGAAAGCATGTGTACCTTTAAACATACATATCAGCTCAGCTGTATATATATATACATACATATATGCATCTACTTCAGTGTGGCACTATGCTGCTGAAAGGTACATCTGTTATCCACTGTAAGCACAACAAATCAACATCATATTGAAAGGAAGATCATTGTTGTAGTAACATCACATTTCTGAATCAAAATATACACTTCTAAACGGAACAGCTTCTATTTATGGATTTAAACATTTAATGAAAGAAAATCCCTACAAAGAGAAATCTGAAAACAATATTGAAAGAAAATATGTGAACATTTTTCAAAGTGAATAAAATACATTTCATTTGTTCCCTGTGCCTCTAAAAATATTTCTTTCTTTTGCAATTTACTCAGAAACCTTTTGTGATCAATTCCTTCTCCCCGTGGAAAATGTTTTATTCTTGTTATTATAAACTCACCATATTTAAAATACCACAGAAAGTACTTTCCATTTCCTTACTCAGTCTATTTCCCTATACATTGTGTAGTCAAGAGGCAGTGCTCTCTAGAAATACTGCAGTTCTCTTGTGTGTGGAAAACTGAATACAGCAAGAAAAGGATGAAACCAGTTGTTGATATTAAGGAAGTCTGATCATAATAACCATACCTGAAATGATGAAATTCTAGTATAGATATCCAATCTCTCTGTTGGTTTTAACTGCCTAACTGATCACGAGCATTAACTAGTGCACAATGTAAACTATAAAAAATAGTCACTTGGTATGAAGTTCTTATGTACAGGCTACATTGCTATACCATAAGAAATAGTATTTCCACTGAAAATCAGGAATACTTTGCATTTCTGAGACAGCTTCACATATGAATTGTTGTAATACACAGAAAGACTACGTATCATGTTCAAAGACACAAGGTTCTGTACGAATATAATTCCAAATGGTTGGCTTTTGGACCACTGTTTTATAAGTAAGACTTTTCCTATTAAGGTCAGTAGCAAGATTAAAAAAAAAAAAAAAAAAATCAAAAGCATGCACTGTGCACACAAAACTGTGGACAAATTCTTAAAAACTTAGCTGAGTCCATGTGCTCCCTAACTGAGCACTGAAATGTCACCTCGAAGCCCATTTGTTTGTGCTACACAACTCTGCAGAGAAACCAAAGACTCCTAGGAGCCTGGCCTCTGCAGAAACAATTAGGGGAGTTTCTTCCCCTGATCTTACACAAAGTAGCCTTTGAAATTAACCACACTGTCTTCCCTACAGAATCTAGGAAAGCTGTATAAGGCTGTAACTATTCATACTGCCCAAGCAAAGCTCTCCTCTAACATCTGGTACGTGCCCTGCCAGATTAGCCTTGAACGCAGCTGCAGTTCTGCCAGCTCCTCCCACAACAGCACAGAATGGAAAATGATCCCAAATGGCTTATGCTGAGTTTGAATTTATATATATATATATACATATTCACATACATACACAGAGATACTAGGTATTTGCTTCTTAGCTGCTGTACAACACAATTCAGGCCACAAAATAACAGCCTCTGAGCACGCTGTGGATAGTTACCACACATGCTATCATTTGCCATTGCAAAGAAATCGGTTCTTGCTCCTGGCACTCCCATTAAGTGTCTCTGGAGCTCTCCAGAACTGCTGCTCTTAATGCCAGAAGCACAGAGGCTCCCCAGCCTGGGCCTCCACTCGATAGCACGCTTTTCCTCCGCAGCAGATTTTAACTCTATCACTGGCTACTTGACACACACATCAAAATATATTTACTCTCATCCATACCAGTTTACCAGAATCTGGGCTGGAACTGAAGAGAAAAGGGGATCCATTTCATCTTTCTTTGCTCACTATACTTCTTGGTTTCAGGGCTGCCTACTTACTTTGAAAAGGGACTGCAGGTGTCTACAATCAATTAAAAACATTACCAAACCAGTCAACAAATAGTCAACTTACAGACTCTGTGCCTCTCTAATCTCCACAGGCTCCCAGTATGGAATCAGACATGAGGTTTGCCGGCAACACCCTCAGCAGAGGGTCTTTGGCCAGCAGGCCCAGCTGCTGAGGGGCCCCTCTGGCCAGAAGGCAGGCAGTGGAGCTGTGTGTCCAAGTGCCCAGCAGCCACCTTCTCCTTTGGCGTGTGCCAGACTGCCTGGATGGAGACAGAGGACTGCACTCTGGGATCTGTAGTTTCTGTGGGCAGCACCTCCATTTTACAGATGAGGACAGACACCGTCTGCTCTATTCTGCACAAATTAGGTGTCATCCACAGGTTCTCGACTAGAAGTTTAATATCCAAGCTGAACATCATAATGAGGTCAAGTGTCACCCTCCAAGACAGGCACCCTGGGCAGCAGCAGTTGGATTCAGCAATAAAAATCCCAATCCAAGCAGAGCTTGCCTTTCAAAGTCTGAGCTGGGGATAAGCAAGGCATTTGCAGTTTTTCTCGGGCACTCCGATGGCGGGGCTTATTCATGTGTATTTTCTGTTTGCCAGCCCTTAGCACAGAGATCAAAACCTTGACTGACATTTAATGGCAGGGTAGACATGGGATCAGGGAAGGGACTACAGAGGTCTCTGGAGGGAGGATGGAAACTCTCGTCAGTACTCATCCCACAGCAGGACATACAGCTAAAGCCAGACACAATGCAATCCCCTACAAGCATTAAACCATGCTAGCATGGCATGCAGGATATGTGCACTGGTGTGTACAGGCTATAAATTCAGATTCATGACTGAAGCTTCATCTTCTGCCAGGACAGAAGCACAGTGTTACCATCTGTAAACGGACTGTACATTTTCCAGTTTAGTTATTGTTATGGCTGACTAACTTTTTTTCTTATTTAGCTAAGAAATGTGTTGATATTAGCCTCCCTCCAGGCTAGCATTTGCCTTGGATTTACCCTGGTAATACTGGGTGAGTCAGGTAACATTTAGCTAACTGATAAGCCTTCCTGACTTGTTCCATTGTATCTTATTGCGGCATGAGGATTTAAACTGACTTCTGCTGAGAAACACGGTACCAAGACCACTTTCACCATGACCAGTCCTCCTTCCTAGAATCTGACAGTGATTACCACAGCAGTCACTTTGTCATTTCCTTCACTACACAAATCAAGACAACAAGAAGAACCTAACTTCTTGTGCCCCCTTCCTCCACACCCCCATTCTGGCCTCTCGAATTTCTTGCTGTGCTCACCACCCCTGCAGTATTTATCGGTCACTCTTTAGAATCAACAGGATTCAGATGCACTTGGCCCTGACCCAGTTTGCTAGTGCTCTCAGCTGCCTTTCATTTGCAGCTTCAAAAGTGACTTCAGAGATCCATGGCATCAGAAGCAGCTTTATTCCATGAAAAAATCATCCTTCTTCAGATCTTTTAGTCCTCTGGCTTGCATTTTCTGTTTGCTGAGTTCAGCTACAGCCTCCACTTCTAAAATGTTTCATCTTCCAGTTTCAGATTTGTCTAACTAGAGTGAACCTGAAATGTAGACTATTATATAATACTGCAATTAAATTCTGTATCAGTCATATAGCAAGGAACTACTTCATATGACCACCTATATATTAGGAGTAATACTAGCAGTGATGCACAGACTGGCAGCCTAAGGTACCTTACTAAATTGCTCAAGGAGTATAAATTTTATATGAAAAGCCCAAAATGTACATCAGTGTATGCTGTGGTTTGTGAAATCCAGTGATTCTATTGTTCAGCCTGCAGAGAAGCAGAGCAGGACCATTTCCCACGTGGTTTTCTTAGAACTCCTTGCATGACTGCTGCAGTTCAAGAACTGACCCTGTCCCCACCCCTGAACACATGCATAACCCCCACACATACATGCACATTCATTCTTCTGCCAAGAATTTAAATCAACAGCCAATATGGTTACAGCTGAGCGAGTTTGTAGGAGCCTTCACAGAAACTGTCTATTTTGGTTGCCTGCCAAGTTCCATTTTGTGTACTTACTCCTAATTAAAATGTGTTTTAACACATTCTAAAGATGATACAAACTCTCCTCTTTAGCTGCCTGGTTTGACTGGCGACATGCAAATCAACACACAGTTTTATCTGTTTTTTTTGACATATCTAATTAAATAGTCATTTCTGCAACGCAGAGACCACCACTCCCATGTATACGTTCCAAGAGCACTTAAATAAGCTAATAAATATATTTCTCAATGATTTGCTGGCATTAAAATCCCAGACTGGTGCCAAGAAGGAAAAAAAAAAAAAAATCACACAGGGGAATCCTCTACAAATTTGGCAGGATTTGGAAAACACCAATACAGGCGTGTTCTGATTTGGGGGGCAAGCCTCATACATCAGGAAATCAAATGATCAGATACAGGTGGATAGGAAAGAATGTTTTCTCCACAGGGGGGTTTTGACTGTTTTGGTTTTTTTTCTTAGCCTACTAGTTCAGCTATGCAGCACTTTCTGTAGAAATATTGCTGCAGAGGCTCATATTGTTATATTTTCCAACACTGCTCAGTTAGAGAGCTACAGCCCAAACCCTATCCTAATATGGGCCTGTAAAGTCCCTGAGGAGCTGGACTCCTCTCCCACCTGCATTAGGCCAGCTGACAGATCTGGCATGTGGCTCACAGGGACAGGAAATCTTTCTCCTTGGGATGAAAATACGTAAGGATAGACTGAGGCAACTTATTTTGGTGAGGAAAGCAATAATTCTTTGCCCCAAAGTAGCCTGGATCCTTATACAAGCAAATACTGAAAAAAAAAAAAACTCAGGTCTTTTTAGAAATTACCCCCTATGTCAAGGTCTCCAGTTCTTCAGATGAATGCACCCAATCACCGTGAGGAGCTGACTCCATTTAAAAGGCAAAGCTTTGACTCTTTTAAGATTCTGAGCAATTGCATCTACATTTATAGGCATAAAATTATGGCACCAGAATCCACTAAAAGCTGTCTAAATCCAAGGTCTTGTCTTTAGACTTGGTCTTATTTCTCTGCCTTCCCCTTTCATATCACATCTCTTGGAAAATGAGAGGCATGTTTAAAGAGCAAAACACAAAAAAAAGTGAAATAACACTGCAGCAAGACAATATCCAGAAGTATCTATCAATTTTGTTGGTTTTGTTTTGGTTTACCTTCTCCTACTTTAATATAGATGTTTCTTGATATTTTAAGTTCAGTGAAAGATGTTACTGCTCCATACTCCTTCTGGGCCCACTGTAGCAGATGTTCATTCTTCTCAGGAAAAAACTTTTCTTCTGTTTCTGCTGACAAGGAGAAATTTCCCTTCTCAAACTGAACAACGGAACCTAAAGACACCTGATGGGAATAAAAACATATTTTTAATGGAGTACATTTATCCACCCAGACAGGTAGCAAGTTGAAGCAATGTAATCTGTCACTCCCAAACTGGAAGGTGATTATGGCTTATTTCCACCAATGCCCAAATGTCACACGTTTTAACATCTGCATAATGATTCCTTTTTCTGAGCTGTTTTTGAAAAATGAGGTGCCCATGAGCCCGGGTGGGGTGCACGTGGCAGACTAACAGAGGGCTCGGAGCCACTCTCTGAAATGGCACTGCTGCAGAAGTGGAACACAGGGCTGCGAGGGGAGAGAAACTGTGGGGGCAAAGAGAGGGCTGGAAGACAATAGGAAAACTAAGCAGGAGAGAATAAGAAGATGATCTGAGGAAATGAAGGCAGATAAGTAGATGAAGCTCAATAAAACCAGGAATTGCTAAAGTAACTCCCAAATCAGACAGAACATGAGTCCGAGCTCAGTGCCACATAAAGGCCAGCCCATAAACACAGGGTAAGGAAAGGCTAAGAGAAAGGGAAAATATTTACTGTTGCTTTATTTACAGGAAGTGAGGAAATATTTTAGTCTAATACATAATGCAGATGAATTATACATCTTCAGAAAAATTCTTAAAAATAGGTTACATTAACTGAGGTCTTGACTAAATGTCAAAAGCGTACAGTCTCAGAGGATGACATTGACACACCATAAGCCAGGTCATGCCAAATCACGTACAGAGCACCTCTTAGCAATGCTGTCTTTTATAGAGACATGTGGGATACTTTTGTAGAGTTTTAGCCTAACTAGAAAAATCTCCCATGCATGAAAATTGCAGGATTTAAGGACTTAACCGGTGATTATTTGGAGGAATACTGAATAGATGTCGGCATCCGATCCACAGAAACAAGCCTCCTTAACTACCTCAAAAATACTACAGTTTATCCAATATAGTTTAGTAGTTAGTTTACTTTACACAGTGTTTCTGGTATTTTTTATGGCCAGTATAAGGGTAAAGCAGCGTCAGTGTATCTTTTAAGACATTTGAGGACAGCAGAAGAGAAAATATTATTCCTTCTAAATAATGGCCAAAGAAATGCATTACCTTGCAACAATGCATTTTCACTGTATTTTTCATCTGAGATAGTTAAATGTTTGCTAACAAGCCAGCTTTCCTCCTTAGAAAACACTTGGGTTTGCATTTATAACTAATTAAAACTTGAAAACCTTTTTCATCATCCTGCAGCATGACAAATGTCTTCCTGAGGGACAGATCTACCAAAGTTACCAAGTCCTACGAGGGAAGAATTGACAGACAGAAAGCAGAGCAACTAAGAAGTCTGGCATAAGCATCCTCACTAAGCTATCACATAGTAAACATCTTTAAATAAACATGAAGCTTATCATAATTTATTTTTTTAATCACATACTAACGTCTGTTTGAAATGCTGGTTCTGCTAACCAGGTTTTACAAAGGACTGCAGAGTTCTGCTGTGCCTGCCAATGTTGGGATTTTTACTACACGGACCTAAGGCAAGGTTAAGTGAGCCAAACACGTTATTTTTTTTGGAAAGAATTCAACAGACCCTTCCAAAAAAGGCAAGCATCACTGTTTCAACACCTGCCTTGAACATTAACTACTTACTCTTCAGAACAAATTAAAAGCAACTCTAAAATGCTTAGCATAACCCAGAGCATTAAAACTAAAAAATGTTTTAAATATTTGGGAATATATTAATTTTTATCTGAGCACTAATTATACAGTTTGACGTGATGATTAAGAAACTGCTGCCACAGACACTTTTATCTCCTCCCTTTATCTCCTGCAGCGGTTACTTTCCAAGATTGCTGAGTGGAAAAAGTGCCCCAGCTCTATTTCTTCCAGTTGTGAGGACATGAAAAGTGATTGGACCAGAAACATCTTCTACTGCTGAGTTCACCACACGCCCTGTGACATTTCTGAGGCTAAATGAGGAAACTTCCAAAAGTTTGGACATGGAAAATCCGTTCGCAAGACCAAAAGATACTGGCCACGGCCACTAACCACAGCAAGGACCGTGGTTCAAAGGGCTCTTCTGCAGTCAGAGGAAATGAGGATCAAGTACAGCATTTTGAAAACTTGCTACCAAAACCTGAGTATTCCATCAAAGAACAAAACGTGTTTAGGAACATATTTTGGTTACATACGTTACTGCCCTGCTGACAACTGGGGAAAATAGGAACTGAAATTTTCTTTGCACCATACCAAGGCAAGGGAACACCCACCCCTCGTGCTGGGGGAGGTGTGGGGGATATAAAGCCTTTATACGTCCCCTAAGAAAACTTTCCAGTTACTATTCATCAGAGGGAACAACTCTTAGAACCAAACCTGAGCCATTTCAAATATGTACACTGGTGAGTGTGAACACACAAAAATAGCATATTCTGTTTCTTATTTTACCTATTTCCTTCTTTCCTTCAAAATGTTTATTGCCTTTTTTAATTTGAATCGGATCCAGACGGGATATTTACTTTGTTTGTTTTATGACACTTTAAGTATTTAATGTAGTTGTAATTCAGAACTCCCAAGTAGGAAGCAAGTCCATAATTTAAGCTTAGAGAGAGAGAAGGCAGCTCTGGGAGATGACTCAGAATACAAAGTGTCCACAGCCACACAGCATGAACCAATCCCTCCTCTCACAGCAACAGCTACACCACTACTCACCAAGGGCCCACCAGGACAACTAATTCACCCCTAAAGCCAAGATACAGGCAAATATAGTAGCAGAAAAAAGCAGCATCCTTCCTATTTTTATCTGAGATATACAGTATCAGACCTATGGTGGAACACATAGGAGAGGTGTAAATCTGCTCAGAATAAAATTAAAAAAACTTGAACCAACTTTCAGAGAAGCCCACACGGGGATCAGACTCAGCTGGTCTTTTTTGATACTGTACTTTGATGTGCTTTGTTCCCCTTACAGAGGAAAAATAAAGCCATGGATGAAATAAATACCAGGTATTTCAAAAGTCAAAAATGTATCTTCTGTTGGTCATAAATCCAAATACAACATCCTATAATCATCGAGAGAAAAATTCTCTCTGGTAAGTGACTAAGAAAATGCCATGTAACGTTTGTGAATCCTTTATCAGCTTTGCACAGTCCTTACCAGCCACAGAAGTGTGATGCTTTCAGGCAGTAGTAAAATTTTTCGTGTTTTTAAGGTCAAATACAGTAATTACAAAATTGCACTTCCAGATCTCATGTTTTTGAAAACAAACATATAAAAGCAGCATTACCTCAACTGCATCTGAGATTTTAGTTCTACTCCCTAGGAGTTTGCCAGGTACCTACGATCCTTTTATAATTAAGGCTGCTCAATGTTTTCTCAGAATAAGAGCAGAACCATGTGAGATCAGACTCTTGCACATCTTTATGCATCTAGAAATAAGATCTTGGGATCTTCTATCAAAGCTGAAATTGTGTCAACTCAAGTGTAACTTTCAAAACCCCCAAGGAACAGTTACTAGAATGATAAAGAAACAAACAAACAAAAAAATCCATGTAAAGGGGAAATCTGTTCCCAAAGTTTAGGGTTCAGCAGGGGATTATTAACTGCATACAGGTAATTGTCCACTCATCTCACATTAATCTAACAACATATTAATAGATTCAACATAACACTCATTTGACATGAGCAAAACAAGGTAGCAGAAGGGATTCTGTTTCAAGTTAGATCCCATTTAGTGGAGGAAGTGAAAGGAGAGTTAAAGCCTATCTGTGCAACTGCAGCTATAGTTTCCACTGGAATCAATGAGTCAGTAACACAACCTGTTGTGATTTACTATCTCCATGTCACTAACACCAGTAGTCTGCCAAAATCCACTGCCTGCTTCTGTAAACTTCCACTGGCTAAACCCCATTTACTGAAGCAAGCAAAGAAGGGAAGGAACCATGACCATACAGAAGACTATCACAGATGCCTGTTCCAGGTCCTTCAGCCTGCTGCAAGATGGGTTTAGGACCTCAACCTCTAAATTCCAGAATATTTGTTCTTCCCTTACTCTTACAGCCTGGATTACCTTAAAGCCCAAGTCTTCCTGACTGCCAGTCATCTTGGTTCTGCAAGTGATGGATCTGGGCTCCTAGAGGGGCCAGGAGAAGGAGGAACACTCAGGATCAGTCAGAGGCAGCAATGAGAAGGACCAGCAGGAGATAAAAGGTGCAGCATCATCCAGATCTGGCCTACCCACACTACTAACACAAAGGTTTGTTTGCAGTGATGACCCATGAAAACTCTCAAAGTTGAAACACCAAGCAGTAAAACCTGAGTTTTGAAAAATGTCTTAAATGACGTGGGATCCAGGAGGAACTTGGCAAACGAGGCTCCGGAAAAAGCACTAGATTTTAAAGTCCCACGAAAGGGGAAACTACGGCACATGAACATGCCTTGTTTTCTCTGAAATTTACTGTCAAGTTGGTATTTTCGAAATATTTCTGCCCAAGCCGAAGTGATTACAGTGAAAGCAGAGGACACCTATACATCATAAATTTTCACTATTTTGGGACATCACACTTATAGAAAATTTTTACCATACACTGCATATTCATTTCATGTACTGTATCTTGCTTCCTAAGCCAGAAATATCCCTTCTCTTCTGTAACAGCTTCCTGAAGCAAGCTTTGAATGAAAAGAAAAACCCAACCCCCCTAAATATTTAAAGATGCCTTACTGGGGTTATTGTATAAACTCCTTTTACTGAATGCAGGCAATGCATTGCTTTCAAGCATGTATTTACCACCCTGTCATTCTCAGCCCTCCCTACTGCTGACAGAATTCTTCCCCTCTTCTTCCAAGAAGGTAAGAACCACCACCATATGTAGCCTGAGGTCCCCCTAATATTTCTGGGAGCAAACCCACTCACACAGACTTTAGAAAGTAGTATATTGCAGGAGTTGAATCAGACCAGGAGAAAAAGTCTACAGGGAAAATTAGTATTGCAAAAAGCATACTAAGAGTTACATTTACTGAACACTGCTT